GTGAGGTTCAATCTCAAATTTCATGTTTATTAGACATTTACAGTTTTTCTTGATATGAATAGGTACTTTACATCCTTTGCCACTTTTCTACCAAGTTGTTTATTTTTAATTTTTTTTTTACTTGTAGGAGCTCTCTATATTATAAGGAGATAATACCTTGTAAAATTTTAGAGTTTGCTTTTCTTTTGAATCTTATTACTTAATGTACTCTTAATAAATAAATAAGTATAATTTTTACTTTTCAGTAATAAAAAAAAAGTTTTAAAATTCAAAGAAAAGAAAAGATCAGGGGCCTTGGACATGCATGGCCTCTGGATGGCTCTGTGATCCTACCCTCTGGTGCTCTCAGTTTGCATTTCCGGAAGGCCCTTCTCAGAAGAGCACTGAACATGTGATCTTCCTCCTGTGCACATTAGCTTATTCGTCACCTCCCTGGGTGTCACAATATACCACCAAGGAACATGGAGACATGACTACCCAAAGCTTGGTAATTATGAAATAAGAATACCCCCACTCTTCTTTTTTAAATTTTTTAAAATATTCTTTTAGTTGTAGATGGACACAATATCTTTGTTTATTAATTTTTATGTGGTGCTGAGGATCCAACCCAGAGCCTCACACTTGAAAAGCAAGAGCTCTACCACTGAGCCACAGCCCCAGTCCCCCGGCTACCCACTCTTCTTAAGCAAATATACTTACTGTGTGACATACTCTTTGATAACATCACCTTCCACATTAAGGCTTGTGTGAGAAATCCCTGGATGGGCAAGGAGAGCCAAGAGGTATTTGCATAGACACCATAAGGGACTCTTTTCCCTATCTAACCATTCCAGGACTCCTTTTATTCAACTATGAAACAAAACAATTTTTGAGAAATTTTAAGGCATATAAAACGGTAGCTAAGAGAAAGGGCTCAACTTGATATTGACCTGAGTTCCAGTGATAGATCCATCATTTGCTAGCTAAGTGACCCTGAGTAATTCATTTACCCTCCCTGATCTGCTCTTTCCTCCACTGTTGGAACAGGTGGCAAGCCAGGAGTTGACACCAGATCTGTCTTCATAGCCCGTGCTCTAAACCACCACACTGGACTGCTGCAGATACTTCAAACAGCACTGTGCATGTGGGAACTTACTACATCKCTGCAGACTGATTGATTTATCTTCAGGAATGCTTTGTTCAATCAAAAGCTATGACCGCTAAAGCAAAACTCCCAGGCACAAGAGAAATGGCTTTCTTCACCGAGTTTCACGCATGCAAAAGCTCAATAGTTGGGTATGAAACAGAAAGGTGTCCCCTTCRAATAGCAACAAGACTGACAAATACATTGTGTTCACAGCACAGAATATCTGGAGGCCCCACTTCAGGGTCACTCATTGTCTCAAAATCAAATATACCTCCAAAATAGGAGTTTCCACTGTTGTGAAAGCTGAGGTATGAAACTTCAGTTGATGAATCTGTCAAGCCTTTAAAAACTTCTGAGAGGATACTAAGACTTAGATAGCTAAGTATTTAAAATTAGAAACCGCAGTTATTTTCCAATACTTTGGAGATTTTTATAGCACATCTTGAAATGTGTGTTTAGATTATCCAGCTTAGAGTTGTCAGATAAGTACCATAAAGAAAAGGGTCAGACACAGTACAATTAGGATTTGTGGGAAAGATGACATTCCCTACATAAACATACTCCAACTCAAAACTATGTGTAACCCCTCTCCCCCCACCCCACCCCCCAAAAAAAAACCCATATCTGAAAGTCACATATGTCCCTTGCACCACAATTTACAAACCCACCTCAAAGAAGAGGAGACACGGTCTCCCCCACACACGCCTGGGATTATCCTACAAGCCAAAGTAACAAGGCTGAGGGCCTGGACACCCACGCCCCCTCTCCAGGACCAGGCATGGTTCCCACCACTTTCCCAGCCCAGCACTCTCCACACTATGTCACAGGCATGCAAGTTCCATGCTCAGATTCATTCCCAACATGACCTCAAATCTTCACCTCTCCTAGTCCAAGCCAAATCCAGCCTTCCTTTAATTTCATTCATTTGCTTTGCATTTTAATCCATGTAAAGATCACAAAAGTGGGGAGGACTAAGACCACCTTTGGAGGGAAGGGAAGGCTTCGTGGAGYGGTGACCTGAGTGCAGAGTTCAGAAGGAAGAATGGATGGCCACCAGGTAAGGAAGAGACAAGGAGCCTTCTTTGCAGAGGAATTAATACATGCAAAGATTCGAAAGAGTTCTGGAAAGCCTTGGCAGACTTGGAGGAATATGAAGTGTGAAAAGTCAACTGCAATACAACTTTTGAGAAAAACTTTGCCTCATTGAAGTGATGGGCCTTGATCCTGGAAACAAAGGGAGGCCAAAGCTTGCTTTTGCTGTCTGTATTCATTTTTCCCCCCACCCAAAGGGGTAGCCTTTGGACWAGTTCGCATCTTCTATGGAGACACAAACTTATTATGGAAGCATCTCCTTCCTCAGCATTCCTAGACTTCTTAACATCCATACTACACAATCATGTACCATCCAGCTCTAGCAGGCATGGGGTGTCTCCAGTGAGAGGACCTGAAGGTGGGAGCTTTTTATTTTTTTAATTTTCTTGTCTTAGTGCCTAAGAGAGCTAAGCAAGTTCATGCTTAATAAATTCCTGGGTGTGACCGMTTCAGATTTCTCCAGGCATGGCGTAAGCACATGGGAGAGAGGAAGTGAAGAGCTGCAGTCACTACAGCCCTTTGTGTTGGCCATGATTGACAGGATCCAGGACCACAGGAGTTAACTGAGTCTGCCCTCCATGAACTTGGACTCTTCCCCCTTTCTGCCCAGTTTGGCTCCACCAATGAAGCTGAGAGTTATCCTTGCTCCCCTTTGGAATATTGGGCCACAAGGGTTAATAGGTACCAGCATATTGCTAATTCTAGCACACCTCATTAGTGAGGAGGGGAGGGGACAATTGATGCATTTAAAAAGTGCACCTGGCCCTGAAGTGAGAGAACTGTGCTGTTGCCTATGTGCAAATGCCAACTTGCAGCTAGGTTACCATAGCAACCCAAACAGGGTGCTGCAGTGGGCAGCTTTGCACAGAAGTGCAGAAAAGCCATTCTTTAACTCTGAGCTTCTAAAGTGCCTATCGAATCCTGGTAGGCCTATCAAGATATTCAGTCCCAGCATTAGGATTCTGCAAAAAAAAGAAAGTGGAATTTTGAATACCTGGTAGTCAAATCTCCCTGTTTTCATCTACACATGCCCTTCTTTTTGCACAATATGCACTTGCATGCAGAACCCAAAAGAAYCCTTTTAGAAACACATAATTCTCCATACTCATTCTATATGTGATGATGAATAGACTGTACTTGGACATCAGCATGACTTCCACACAACATTTACATCCTCTGARTAACCCAGCAATCGTACATGGTAATGAGTACCATATCCACAACGTTCCCATTCTCATACAGCCCCCAGTTTTTATTATGTTATTGATGTTTTTAATGTAAAAATAAATAATCCTATCAAGAGTGTAGGTTGGGCTGCATGATTCAATGGAGGTGCACTCCAGGAACTGTAAGCCAACTTTTCAAAGGACCAGGCAATTTTTTAAATTACTTTTCCATGGGAGTTGGGAGTAAGGGTTTTCTCACCCACTTGCTAATGTTTTTACTATCTCCTGTGAAGGGGGAACCAGAGAGAGACAAGAGTTTGCCATGTGGCTCCAACCTACATAGGGCTGTCAGGAAGCCATGTCCCTGTGAGCAGGTAGGGCATTAAGTAGATGTGACAGTGTCCTGGAATCACCCTCTTTCTCTCTCTCTCTCTCTTTCTTTCTCCTTTTTTTCTTTCTTTCTTCCTTACCACCTTGGATCTAGAGACTGAGTTGTGGTTTGTGGTTTTCTCTGAATTCTCTCCTGGGCGAAATAAGAATATATACAGCCTCACTAAAGAAACAGATACGCAACAGGCRCACATATAGCAGGGTGAGAGACACATCTGCACATGGAGAAGTGGAGAGGTTTGGTGAACTAAGTCCTGTGAACCTGTAGTGCTTTGCAAGATGTTGAAACAGGACCTCAATAGCTTTATGACTCCATAATAATAAAGAGGGGAAATTCAAAGTGATAGAGCGATTCCAGTACCTGAGGAGTGCTATGGCCTAAGAAAATGACAAGGAAGGTACCCAAAGAGACAGATGTAAACAAAGGAAAGAGGAGCCTCCGTGCCAGGGGAGGTCTTTCTGTGTGCACAGGTGTCTATGCCTCTCTAAGGCAGCTCTGGGAACAAAGAAACCAATTTAGTAGAGCACAGCTGGGTGATTTCTTTATCCAAGGAACTATGATGACACACGGAGATGTGGAGGTGGCTGAGTGAGGGGGTTGTTACATTTAGGCAAAGAGGTAGGACCTCCCAAGGATGAACACTCTAAGAAACTTGAGTATTTGGAAGGAAGGTGTCAGCAACCTGGTGACACATAGGGCTGTCAGGGACTGAAGACTAGAGGCACAGCCGGTGCAGTTGGGCCTGCACATGCCTTACAAGGTGATGACCGAATACCTTCCTCTAAAACCCCGGGAATGGCTGTGGGTGGCTGTGGGTGTCCAGAGGGTGTGAAGCAAGAGCTGAGCATGTGGTCAGGGAGCGAGGAGAAGGGCTTATGGGAGTTGAGCTGTGGCAGACCAGAAGTGCTGTGGGCTGTGCTCCAGAATTAAAAGCAGGAGGGGCAAGACTGAGGAAGGTTTCACTCGTGAACCTGTTCCTTTGGGGCTGGAGGCTGAGGAGAGGCCGAGGGCCCAGCACCCAGGTCGGATCTGGGGAGAAGTCAGGTGCACCGAGGCGCTAGCCTGCAAGTGGGTGTGGAGAACGGTCCGGGAGTGGGGCGGATCCAGGGAGGTGGGAGTGGGGGAGGGGATGTCGCCGGMGAGTGGGTGTGTGGAGCGAGCCGGGGTGGGGGGTGGGGGCGCCGGTCCAGCGCCTGCGGCCGCCTCGACCTCCCCCGGGACTCACCCAGCACGAAGTAGGGCAGCTCGGTGTTCTCCAGGTCGTCCACCACGACCATTTCTCCCGGGAAGTCGTTGCGCACCGAGAAGAGGAGCTTGGGTTCGGAGGCCGAGGGGCTGTGCATGATGCTCAGGTCGTTCTCGCGCAGGAAGGGCAGCGCCGACACCGTGATGCTTTTGAGCTTGCACTCCAGCTCCTTGGATGGATCCACGTCGCCGGCGGCTGTGGCCAGCACCGCCGCCGGCCCCCAGCAGCAGGCGAGCAGGGCGCAGAGCCGGGCTAAAGCCATCTTGAGCCCCAGCCGCCTTCCTCCCAGCGCTGCGATGGTGGGGGAGGAAGCGAGCGGGGAGGGAGCGAGCGAGCGAGCGAGCGAGCGCGGGAGGCGGGGGAGGCTGGGGAGGGATGCAGAGCCGGGGAGCCCTGGTCCCCGGAACGAGGAGCCGCTGGCAGAGCAGAGCGCTGGGTTCAAGCGCTGCTGTCCGGAGAGCCCGAGTTCTTTGTTTCCCGGAGCAGCTTATCTGGGAAAAGGAAAAAAGGGGGGAGAGGGCGAGAAAAAAGGGAAGGAAAGGACGCTGGGAGGGAAGAGGAAGGGAGCTGAGGATTCTAGGGAATCAGGTCAGCCCCCAGCTGGCTGTCAGTGCTCCTGCCTCCTCCTCCTTTGCATCCCCCTGCASGAGCCACGCTCTCGGCTATTAACTATCTGCACCGCATTTTAAAAAATTCTTCTTTGCAATGCAAATTCTTCCCTGTCGCATTATCATCCAAATGCCTTGGGAAAGGCACACACCTTAAAGGGCGCTTCCGGGAGCAGGTGTGTGTGTGGTTGGTGGTGATGGGGTGAGGGGTGTCTTTCTAGATGCAAATTCCCTTAGTGATTTTATGCATGTAGGTTGTCCCATCCATATCTCTTTGTGCCCAATGTTAGTTGGATTTGTCCATTGGATAAGCTAGTGCTAAGATAAATGCACATGTGTATATTTTTACTTAACATTGACTTTGCAAAGTAAAAAAAAAAATGTTACATTGACAGAGATAGATGGATAGATAGAGATACACAATAAAGAATAAAGTCAATGTGTCTCATACCGTTAAGCAGGAGAGCAGAACTTTCACTTTTAACTTTTGCCTCTTCCTTTCATTTCTGTCACAAATGTTATCTACAGTAACCAATAAAAAGATGATTTGGGAAAGCTATAGTTGATAGAAGAAGCAGACTTAGACCAAAGACATGTTGCAACTATGGTTTTAAAGGATCCAGAAAAATAGAACAGATCTGGGAGAATATGTGAGAAAAATGGAAAAGCATCCTTAACAAGTGAAAAAGCAATAAAAGAATACCCCTGAATGTGAGCCAGGTCAGTCCTAACTCATCAGGAGCAGAGCAGGGTAAATATTTAGCCCCCTGCCTAAGTATTCTAAGGAATAAGAATACCACCAAAAGCCCATGAAGATCTGTCTGCAATCGAGTTGGGCAATGTTGCCTTTTAAAGATGCCAACAGTGTGCAGAAAACAGTGGTAGAAAAATGATATTTGTGTGGTAGAAAAGGGAAATGCTGGAATGTGATGTTTAACTTTCTTACACGTGATAACCAATAACTTGTTCAAAAGTCTGTCCTGCCAACTTTATTTCTTCAATGCTGATTTAAATACTATGTGCTATAAAGACTGTTAAGTGGAGTTCCCACATATGAGTTTAATTCATCACCCATTTCAGAGGACCTCTACTTTATAAACAATTACATCCTTGATCTACCTGCTGCAAATTTATTGACATACATAAATGTGTGTACTTTAATAGATAAAAAAGGTGTGCATTACATTTCACAAGGTTTATCTAGTTGAATAGTTGAATAGTTCAATCTAGTTGAATCAGCCATATTTAAGGTCACATTTAAGGAGTAAAAGATCTGTTTACCATGAAAAAATAAACAAAAGTACTTCGATATAAGTTTAGTTTTTAAACTTGACATACCCCAAAATCAACCAAAGCTATATTGCCATGAGCACTGCAAACTACTGCAAAAAAGATGTATCTGCCAATGACCTTTTAAGATTCCTTCCCATCTTCATTCCTCTCCTAAGAAGAACATAGACTTCATGATTCCTTTTTTTCAACACTTTCTAGCATAAAAAAAAATTAAAAAGATATGAAGCATAGATAGGCAAGGTGATTTGCCATTGAATAATCAGACTAATGCCAGGAAAACACACTTCATTCTAGAATGTGAGAAATGGCTTGAAACTACCAGACAATCTACTACTTCCAATCTCTCATTAATGGATAAGGAAACTAACATGTGTGAGATGCTCTAAACATCAATCTGCTAATGTGGAGCTAAGACCCCAAACAAGATTTTATGGACCACAATAATTCATTCAGTAAACACAAGCCTTCCTTATCCTGGGCATTAGTCAAAGCATGGAGGAAGAGGCTAGGGTGTTGCTCAGTGGTAGAGTGCTTGCCTCGCATGTGTGAGTCACTGGGTTTGATTCTCAACACCATATATAAATAAAATAAAGGCCCCTCAGCAACTACACACACACACACACACACACACACACACACACACACACACACATATATATATTTAAAGCATGGGGGGAAGTAATACCCCTCCTGCTTTTGAGTAGTATGTAATTTATTCTCATTTTGAAATCCTTTCTAATTTCCTGAAGAACCTTGAGTCATGTTAGAAAATGAAAGTGAATTATTTGGGGTTGATGTCTAGTCTTTTAAAAAATCTATACCAAGCTGGAAATAGTTGAAAATTGGTATCTCAAGCCTTTAGATACCTTTCTCTCTATGGAACAGTCATGGGAGAAAGCTGTGTAAATAAAAAGCATATTTTCCCAGGGCACTTTATTCCTGTAAGAATGGGTGTAATGACATGTGGTCTCCTCTTTGAGAAAGAAACATCTAGAGATGGGGGTAGAGATTGCAGTTCACAGAGACCATATCTACAGAGTGACCCTTTGCATTTTAAATCATGCGGGCCACGTGTGTACCCATCTCAGTCATCGCCTTTATGTTGAAGCAACCTGATCTAGTGAAACCACAGACATGGGTTCAAGTCTCCATATTTGCAGGTGAGTTTGGACCATTTTTATCTTCAGTTTCTTCATCAATAAAAGGAGATCACTGGTCTCTGCCCACTTCACCAGCCACAGRTAATAATATTTATATTATTTTTAGCATTATAAGGTAGCTATTATCTCCAATCCTGACTTTTCTCCTGAAGCCCTACTTCCTATATTTAAATGGCAGTGGCCACTSCTTGAATCTTACAGAAACCTTTCATTGCTATTCCTGCTATCAACCAATTCTATACAGGTACGAGGTTGATCTTCATGAAATCTTGTTCTCATCATGACATTCTTTTCCCTACAGGTTAAAGTTCAAACACGATGTTTGGAAATTTGAAGACTCTTCTAAATTCCACACTATTTATTCCTCTAGACGGATGGCTCACTGCACTGTTATCTCTTCCCGTGTTCTCAGTGTACACGTGCACATATGTGTTCACATGCATGCACACGTACACACACATCAAAGTAAAGCCCAGTTCCTATTTTCACTTCTTCCACGTGTTCTGTACACCTGGAATATAACACTTTTCATCCATCAGAGCATCCCATCCCCTCAGACCTATCTCCAGCCTCCCTTCCACAGGGTGACCTTCCACCTCTTCCTTTTCTCATAGCTCCACTCACTGAGCACTTAGCCACATGCATCTGCAAAGGGAAAGGACCATGTCCAAATTGCATGTCTTGTCTCTGAATGTAGTGTTTTGTATTTTGCAATATTTTATTTGGAAAATAGAAATAATAGTGCATAAATTAGGGTGGTCATAAGGAGGAAATGTGAGTATGTTTGTATGCAGAGGACCTGACACAATAGTGTTAGCTCTTTGCCATCATCACCTTATTATACTATTTGAGACAGAAAATAGAATTCAGAGTTGTCTTCACAAGATTTTCTCCAGTGTAGAAACCAACAGTCAATTAAGTGACTTACACTCATTGGTGTTTACCTACAATTAATAATGACACATGTACACACACTAAAGGATAAACAGGTTTGCTAATAATAGACAAAAATGGAAACAACCCATACATAAATCAATAGGAGAATGGATAAATGTCATATAATCATGCAATGGATTACTTACACAATTTTAAAATATGCAATTTCATAAATTAATCTCCCTGATGTAAGGATGAGTGAAAGAAACAAGACACAGAATTTAYACACTAAGATTCTTGAATTATGAAATTCAAGAGCAGGTACATTAACCTTTGGCGATGGAAGTCAGAATAATATTATCTCGGAGCCTCGGGGCGGGGTGGGGGGTGAGAGCTTACCAAGAAGGGTCCGTAGTGTGCTTCCTGGGGTGCTGGAAATGATGTGGGTAGTGGTTACACCAATAAATATATAGGCAAACACTCATCAAACTATATTCTACCAGAATTTTCTGGTGTGATCTTACTTCATTATATTCTTGTTAAATGGTTTGGGATACCATAGGAGAAGGAAGCATAGATAAATCTTCTTTCTTGTTTTTGTGCCTTCCAACTCCACCCTCTTCTGTCCTCAAAAGATCTCAGAATCTTTCATTTTCTTTCCACGGATATTGATAATCATTTGTCCAACCACTGCTCCATTTACCCACTCCATTACACTGTTTTACAAGAATGCCAAAGTCCTATGTCACTGCTTGGAACAAGTTCAGTGTACCCATACCCCTAGACATCACAGGAGTAAATGCCATAGGTTGGGCAGCAATGGATTTAGACTTTCACTGATTCACTTAGATATTTTATCCTAGAAGATCACCCTTCCCTGGCATATTTTGTAACTTCAGTAAACATACCTGCAGTATGTCAGAGGAGGAAATATAGGTGAAAGTCAGGAGTGGTGAGAATGAGGGTATGCATGTGAGAGACGCTATTTCTCACCTTCCTCATTCATTCAGAACACCTATTCTAGCAGAATTTTCTACTGTGTATCTTAATACATACTTTTTAGCTAATTCAGTTGTATGCTACTTTGACACTAAACCTCTGAATTCCTATGTATGTTTTTTTCTGATTATTTACAAAATAATCTCTGGTGTTGTTCTCCATTCAAGGARAGTAAATTGAGAGACTTCTCTCCTTTTTTGACTGTATATTCTTTCCCCCACATTTCCACCATCCTCTGACTGTATGTGAATCCCCCAAATCCCTTTGCCAGTTTCAAGCCCCAGCTCCTCTGCTGAATTGGATTATTCTTCAACAAGGACTCTCCCATGCTCTTGCCCAAATGCAGTGTAGTATGCCAGTCAGCTTTGCACCTTCATTAGGACATCAAAAATACAGAATTCACACCCTTCAGTGCAAAGTTAATGTTCTCTTCCTTTACTCTCTTCTGCCCCTTCCTCTCTCTCCCCCCTCCCACCCTCTGGCTCTTTTCCTCTCAATTCACAGGCTCAGCAGCAGCACCTGCTTCACAGAGACAAGGCTGGTCCTGTTCTGATTCCTCTAGTTTTCCTTTAAAACCAAGTCCCTCTTCCTGACACACACTGAAGTGAAAGGGAACACACAGAAGGAAAACACCACCAGCACACCGGCAAAATAATTCTTTTTTTTCTTTTAATATCTCCCTAGAACCCTGAAGTTATTCTTTCCTTTGTCTTCACAGTCGTGGTGTGGGGGCAGGATGTTTCTTAATTTAGCTGTCCAGCATCTCTGTTTCTCTCTCTAGCCATCTTGAGGGGTTCCGGCTATCTTTTGCCATTCTCTCCGTGTGTGTGTGTGTGTGTGTGTGTGTGTGTGTGTGTGTGTGTGTCTTTACTATTTCTCACTTGGGGGCTCACTTCTAATTAAGTAACTCAGAAAGCTGAAATACACAAAACAACCAAATGAAACCCCAGATTAGAAGGAAAATGGGTCCCCATCTCTGGGAGTTCTGGTTAAGCAAGCAAACAAAATGGGCTGGGACAAATGATGATTATAACTCGGGAAGATTAGGAGAAAATGTAATTAGCTCCCCAGCTATTTCTTGTTCCGYAGCCTTCTTAGACTATCCAAACTTGATCCCCGCCCCAGCCCCAGACCCAGCCGTGGAATTTATCTGAGGCTTCCTTATCGGTGCCAAAAAGTCCCTGCTGCAAAACCGGGAGGGTTAACCGAGAGCCGTACCCCAGGCTGCCAGCAAACCCGAGGAGCCAGCCGCTGGGGCTCAGAGCCCGCCCCTGCCAGGCCGCCCAGCCAATGGGCACCTGTGGGGAGTGTGTCGCTGCGTCCTATTGGCTGCCGACCTACAGGCAGAAGAAAAAAAGAGAGAGGCAGGCCAGGCAGCATTGTTATCTTAAGACACTCATCTGGTGTCTGAGTCTGCAGGTGACACTGCCTAGGTACGGAGCGCGGACTGGGAGCGGGGACGCGCCGGGCTGCAGCCCAGGGATGGAATCCGCCCGCCTCGCCAGCTGTTCGCCGCTCCTGGGGCAGCGCCTCCGCTGAGCTCGGAGGACCGGGAGAGCGCTTGTCCAGGGCTATGCACCTGCGGGGCGCTCCGAGGGCGCCGGTGGGTCTGCAGGCAGCCGGGGAAGCAGTGGAGCCGGAGGAACGATCTTTGCCCCGGTCTAAGGCTCTGATTTTGGACGACAGAGAGGGCGGGTGAGTCTTTTAGAGTTGGAAAGAAGGCAAGACCTTGGGTCTCTCTCGGTAGAGGGACAGGTGACTCCCCCGGCTGGGTTTCCCACTTTCCTCACCTCTCCCACCCCGCGTGTCCCCAGCCCAGCGCCAAAGCCTCACTTCAAAGATGCTTTGGGCGACTGGGATCCTTGCTGCTCAGCGGGAAGGCAGCAGGCAAGTGGTCTAGCGGCGGCGGCGGCAGCGGCGGCAACAGCAAAGCGAAGAGCAAGAGAATTTGAAAAGAGGCATCCGCTCCCTCTCACACGCTGAGGGGGAGGCATTCGCGTTTCCCCAAACGAAACGGAGCCACAAGAAATCATGAAGTAAAAACTTTGGAGAGCTGCCACTAGAGATGTTGCACGAAAATCTGGAATCTTTTAGGAGTCTCCTCCCAGTCGTTGGAGATTTGGGGAGCAGCTGATACTGCAAGGAGGGCTCTTGCAAGGATTCAAGGTAACAGTGCAGGGATTTCGCGATTTTTCTCTATCTCCTCTTCATTGCCCTTTTGGTGTATGCATTGGTGAGGGATCCGCTTGCCTTCCTATAACCCTCGTGCCCTGGCGCCTGACAGTTGTAGGCAGACGGGGTGATGATTCCGCGTCTCCTAGTTCTATCCTGTGGAGCTGAGCAGTGGACTTGAGGGGATAGCTGGAGATCGCTCTGATTTTGTCTCCTGGTGTTGCATGGCTGTCACACGGCTTGGGCACTCTGCCTGACCTATATTGCTTTTGCTTGGTTTAAGTCCTCAAAGTTAGTTCAACTCCCATTAGCTTCAGAAAATCCAATCGGGCTGCATAATTGCAGAAGATGACGAGGGTTTTTGCCTGCTGTGCAGATGCTGAACTGAACTGTATGAGGTTCACTATATTTGGGGAAGACCCTAAGGCACCGAGATCCTAATGCACAGTACATCTGTTTTCACATGTTCCTAGAGCCCTGTAGCATTTCTTTAGAGGCTAGTCGCTCTCCCATGCACTTCATCTGGGGGAGGGAAGTTCCAAAGAGTGAATCCTCTAGGGTGCAAATAGTGTCTCCAGGGTGGGGGTAGAAGCCCCATTGATTGAGTTGAGCAGGGCAGAGCACTGGAGACACTAGGGGAGAATGTTCCTGTGCAGAAAGGGAGATGTGCTGGTATCATCAAGCAGATCTCTCCCTGTTTCTGTGATCATCTGGGTATACAGCCCAACACTGCCTGTAGCATGTGTGTGTGTGCGTGCGCTTGTGTTCACAGCTATCTGTAGGAAGCTGGCTACCCACAGGAGAAGCAAGCATGCACAGTGCYGAACCCAGCCACGGGTGCCCAGAGTGTTCCTGCCTACTAGGAGAATGAACTTGTGAGCTGCTATTCTAGCCCAGAGGAGTTTTCTCCTCCCCAAGCAGTTCCTCTTCATGGTACATATTTATCCAGGGTATATAGAYCTAAGCCAAATATTAACTAAAAATCAAGCTAATGCACTGTAACGTGATTGAACAGACTCCTCTGTAAAGAACGGTGTGTGTGCTCTTCCTAGCCTTGGGAACAGGGTGCCCTGAATAGGAGCAAATGTTTTGTTATAAGGATAATGATTATAAAAGGCCATGCTTGTAGCCAGGCAATCTGGACCTTATCCAACAGGCACAATGATATGTCAGCACAGACCAATCACAATCAGAAAGCTAAAACATATATTGTAAGTCAATTATTTCTGCCCCTGTCCTTCCCCAATGGTGTGCATGTTGAAGTGACTCTCTGATGGTGCTCACTGGAAGACATGCAATGCCAGTATTAACCAAGCAGCTGAAATATTTTACCAGATCCCCTGGGGGGCAGTCTGATGACCTCAGGCAACAGCAGAGGGTGCTGAAGTTTGTGTTTCTGTCTTGACTTCACACAGTTGTATGTATGTTGTTTGTTTAAGGCACAACTCCAAAGTTCCCTTTCCCCCGCCGCCAATAAGTTGCTGTGCAGCACAGAGGGCATGACCAAGCAATGCTGCYCCAGTGATCCTGTGCTGTCTGTACCATAGCTGCATCTGCTCTGGGAAAAAGATGCATGCTTTGCTTCTTTGAGGAGGGATGTGATGTGAAAAGATGCAGCTCATGGATACTGAGGAATGTTGGAAGACCAGGAAGCAAATGTCAGACCATAGTCTTCCCTGCTGGAGAGCAGCTGGCTCCAAAGGTCTGACATCGGGGCTGCAGCCAGGGAGAAGACAGAAACATTCTTGACTCTTGCTTCCCTCTACTCACCCAAAATGGAGCCGGCTCCCCCCACCCCCAAGGAGTGGTGTGTGCTGCAGTATGGGCATAAGAAAGGAGGTGAGGAGGAAATGGCTAGGGAGGGCAGGAGGTCCCTGCTCTGCTACATTGGTCTTGTTTCAAGAATGGGAAGCATCTTCTGTCCATGGCCCTCAAGATCCTTTTCTGGGTGTTACTTCCTGGCCTCCTGACAGGTTGTTTACCTGTGAGGCCAGAGGGCACAGAGTGTCCCTGCGTCATCAGCTYCTCCAGATCCCCTTTCCCAAGGCACAGGCTAGCCCCTGGGGAGAATCGCATAAGTGAGATCCCCTCTGAGAGGGTGCTCCAAAATCCCTCTCCAGCTCACAAACAAGAGGTAATCTGGAGGGACTGGAGACATCTGCATGGGCACTTTCTGCTGACTGAGATGCTTAGTGTTGAGGTTTTCTGGTTAGTGTTTATCAGAACCCTGTGCAGTATGCTTTTGGTGATTCGACTCTTTCTTTTGGAAAATAAGACCTTGTATACATTTTATAAAGGCATCCTTTTCCGAAGGGCAGGGAGCATTTTACAGAGCTCCTGTAATTCATACTCACATGGCTTATTGTCTTGTTTATGTCTGTTTAGTCTAAGAAGGAGAACTAGAATGATTTTTGCCTTCTTCTTGGAAAAGGAAGGGGAAGGAACCTCAAAAAAGAGGACCACTTTAGTTTGGGTCACACAGCAATTAAGGGAAATCATGGAATGAGATCTGAGTCTTATTGCTCCTAAACCAACCCAACCTCCATCGGCTTCTTCTAAGGAAGATTTTGGTCTTAGTAGTTGCTGTCTGATTTTTTTTTTTTTTTTGTACTTTTCAAGCGTGGGAAGATGCTGCAACCCAGGGTTCCTCCTCTGGTACTGACCTAAGGGTAGTGAGAGATAAAAGTTTTAAAAGCCTTTGCCCTCAGTGATCTTCCATTCTGGTTAGGGAAGCAGGCTTACATCAGGGAACAGGTAAATGATGATATAAGTTCTAAACAGCAGTTCAATACAGGAGGGGCTGAGAGGCTGATCTAATTAATCTGCAATTGATTTGTACAGATAATGAGAGCTATCAGTGTTCAAAGGGGGGAGAGTYTGAGCTGAGCCACGGGGATGGGGTGAGATTAGTTTGGATGGGGAGAGCAGGGGAGTTGAGTTCCAGCTGAAGGGAACACCAAGCACAGCACAGCGGAGTTAGCTGGAAACTCTACCAATTCCTTGGGGTTGGCYCTGGATCACCTCTCCCCTGGTAACCTGGAAGTATATGTATCTGGTTTCATTATTTTGAACATATATTGGCCTAGGGGAAGTTTCCTGAGGATCTGAAAAGAGGGCTCGGAAATGCTGGGAATCTCATGAGGCACTGAGAATGACCTGTCCTTTCACGCAGCCTCAAGTCGGAGTCACATACGAYGAGGAAAAGGTGGCTCAAGGTCAGAAAGCTTATCAACCTCGTGTCCACAAACTTGAGTAAGGATATTGGGGGAAAGCAGAGAGTTTCAAAAAAACATGAGAAAACCTCATATTTTAGAACCAGAATATCTTAAGAGAGAGCTTTGATTTTCTTCCATTTCCTATTTCCCCACCCAAATGTTCCTCTTGGGGTTTACTTGGAGTCGGCAAAATGCCAAAGCCCTTAGGCATTTAGCATGGAGCAGAAGATTTTCAATCTTAAGATTCTTGAGCATGCCCATGTACATAACCTCTTGTCTCCCCTTCTCTTTCCCTTTTAATAAAACATATGCAGTAGCAGTCACAAAGGAGGAGACCACAAAAAAGCAAGAGGGGGCGGGGTGTGGTACTGCCCACAGCTGTACCACGGGCTACTGTTAGTGCTCAGCTGAGCAGGAGAGGGGAGAGGCAGTCGGCCAGCCTGGTCAGCCCAGGGAAGGGCCAAGGGCCGCCCACCAGCAGAAGGCTGGGCCTGCCAGCTACACATGCGCTCCAGCAGTGGGCTTCTCTCCTGGGGGAAGGTCAAGGTGAAGTGCGGTCCCTGCGAGAGGGCTGCTAACCACCACCCAACTCACTGGTCTTCACATGTTTTGAGACATGTATCCAGGCTGCATGTCACTGTTCCATGGCCCCATTCCTGCATTACAGGGAGTTCACACGCTGCACAAGAGTAAAATGACTTGCCTAAAGTCACAGCAAAACTGTTCTGAGGTCAAGCGGGAAATCCCCAGGAACCCAGTCTGTTTGCGTGCTTTGCCTCCGGAGTTCATTCTGGGAACAGGTCTCCAGGGACATTTACTTGCTCTTGAAAATCCAGCCTTAGCCCTTGATTTCTGTATTAAATGACCATGCAGCTGGACTCTGGGTATGACCTTTCTTCTTTATTCTCCAGAAGCATCCACTGCCATCTGTARGGGAGGAGATGAAGGTCCAGGAGGGTGGCTGTGTGGTCAGTGATTGTGAATTTAAGCGTATTCTATTTATGAGAGAAGGAACGGGCAGATCAGTTAGGCTTCAGCCTCAGAGCTGCAGTGAATTGGGCTCATCTGACCAATTAGGGGCAGGTTGGTCCCTCYTCAATTGCCTCTCTGCCATGCAGAAGGAAGGAAGTAGCATCATCAGAGCATGGACACTTCAGCAGCCAGTCCCACCATTCCTTGTACAGAAACTCACCATGCAGATACATCCTGAATGCTGGACTGAGCCAACACAGCAGGGAATTTATACCCCAGGTCTGAGCTTAACATGTCATAACTGCCCAGTATGGTAGCCACTAGCCACAGCTGGCCCTTGAGCATGTGAAATGTGTGCTATCAATATAAAATACACATTGGATTCTGAATATTAATTTTAAAAGGGAATGTAAAAGATCTCATGGATAATTTTTCATGTTGATTACATATTCTGGATATATCATGTGAAATGAAATACATTAGGGTTGGTTTCACCCATATATTTTTTAATTTTTAATGTGGCTACTAGAAAAGTTAAACTTATATGTGTGGCTGGCCTTATATTTCTTTTGGACAGTGCTGGTCCAGGCCCTGCAGAATAGTGACAAGTTAATGGGGAGAAGRGGCAGAGGCCTGAGACAGAAGGAGCCAGAGACATAAGAAGAGAGAGAACATGGAGGGAGGGGTCAAGAGCAGCCCAGGAGAGCCTCTGGACATGCATTTCTGAAATTTAAAGTCAAGGAGGGCACCAATGACTTACACATACCTATATTTGTTTGAGGAGGGACCTCACTAACCGTGACTCAG